TATCCCAATATATAAAAATGTCATTTTTGTGTCCTTTGATATTAGGAATTCATAGATTATCTATAGTATTTTTGTTTCTACACTGGGGTAAGGGAGTATTTCTTGTCAATATTATGTGGTTAATAAGGGATTAATTTTCTCTGTGATCGTTCTTCAATGGGATCCAAAACGGAAGGCTCAGATTTATGCCAAGTTTAGTTTAAATATCTTTATGTTACTTTGAGCCAACAAGTAAAAAGAGTAATTTTAAATAGAACTATATATAAAAATCTGTGTCTAATGTGAATACCTTATTTTAAGGTATTAAAGTCGCACAAAATATTAAATCAAAGGAATATTATCAGTGTTCAGTTAATGAATATTTGTTAATGATTAGTAGTAACTATTTCACATACCTCATTATTTCTGAACATTTTGGTGAGATACTCTTCAACTTCATGTTGGAAAGAGATTTTTGGGAAAAAAGACATCTTCCTTTAGTTTTTAAAATATGCTGTAGAAGAAATGAAATAAGAAAAATATTTTCTTAACATTTTTTATCATATTCTACAAGTTTATAAATGTAACATAAGAGGTATCTACAAACTAAGCTTCAGTTTCTGATTCTTCTGCTTTAATTATGTAATTTTACAGCACTCAAAATTCTAAATATTACCCACGGTATGACTGTAATTACATTTCAAAATATGCTCATTAACACGTTTAGCATTTGCAATCACCTCACAATGAGGCTACTGGTTTCCTTGCTGTCACATCCTTCCCAGCCATGCCTTCCAAGGCTACAGTATCAATGTTCAAAATGTGAAGAAAGTGTCACCACCTGTAAATCCTGTACCACTAAAGTTCCCCAAGCTATACTTGGGGACAACTTGCTGTTTAGACCTAGAATTCACTCACAGAGGCTCCTCAAATAATTTAGCTTTGATTCTTCTAAGTCCCATCTTTGAAATTCTTATTCTATTACATCATCATATCTGTTCATTTTTAGAGATAATATTCTAATTTTTCCATGTCAATTTTCTTTTTCTCAGGCTTAACCTGTTAGGTTTCCTCCATAGTTCAAATTATCCAAAATTCATAATGGGAGGACATGTGCATGACTGTGAACAATGATTTTTATTGTTGCCATAAGTACTTGAAAAGTTAAAAATGGACTATAAGTAACAGTTTTCTCTTGAGTTTGTGTTTAATTCACAATATGAATAGTGAAGCATTAATGCAACAGAAGCTCTACTGATTCTTACTGAAAATCTTCAAGTTGTCTGGTGAAAGTTTACACCGTTAAAAGGTACAGAAAATTTCCAAATGCTGTTTTAATTTCTTCTGCAGACCCCAGCCATAAAGTCCCTATTGTAGCTCAGCCCTGATGCAGCTTTTATTCTTCGTAATTATTCTCTGTTTATTTTTGTCTATAGGTAATAAAATACAGTTATCTTCCCAAATTTTATCTGCCCACCTGTCTGTATTTTGAGTGATTATATACACTTCAGTCCAAAATGAGACTTCCTAAAAATTTAACAGTTTCTTTCCACCAACTAAAATGGAGGGAAAGTGAGAACATCCCCCATCAGTGAGGTTTATTCTATCCATAAGAAGGAAATTTGAATACTGAAATACTACATTTTCATTGTATTAAACACATTTTGAGAAAACACACTGGAAAGTCTGGTATTCGGTCTATTTTAATAAGAGGCTATTTATCACTTTTATCATACAAAACCTCACAAAAATATCTTTTTTTTTTTTTTTTTTTGGTATTTCAGAATCAGTTGGCGTTTTAATGCTGCAAGAATATTATCTTTTTTAGACTTCACTTTTGAGCCCAAAGGCAACTTTCAGTTTCATGGGTAGGATTTCCAAAGCCTGATCCCCAACATTAGCAGTCTTTGAAAGAAAAAAACTGTAATGGAATTAATTAGCTTTTTTTTTTTTTTTTTTTTTTATAATCTAACAAAATGCACAAAAAGAATTTACCTTGATATTTCTACTAATCTCATAGTACAATAGTTCATATTACAACTGAAATTACCAAAGTTCAGACAATGTGACATATCATGCCTCTGATCTGTTGTCTTATGATACGTACATTAAGGGGGAAAAAAAAAATCACCCCAAAAAAACCCCTGTACGGCTCACATTTGGAAATTTTTTTCTTCAGAAGCATAATAAACTAGCATTTAAAAAAATCCCTCACCTGATGATTTTTTAGAAAATTTTAATCCTGAAAGAATCAAGCAGGAATTTGAAAACTGGTAGAAAAAATGTGTTATTTATGAGCCTTACAAGTGACTTCAGTATTAGTATTATGAATGTAACTTTTTAGGACATTAAATGGTATTTTATGATAACCACAGAATCCCATGGAATGATGGAGGGGATCTCACAATTACAGTTACTTCTTCATGGAAGACCAACCACTGATCTGACAGCATGTTGGCAACTGAACTTGTTTCCACCCCATTTTTGAAATGTGACTGAGGGCTACCGTGAGACGTGAGACAGTAGGTGGTCAAAACCAAAAACTCTTGGTCAAAAACACTGCACACAAAGGACGGAACTGCAATGAAGTTCCCTCAATGTGTTATAAAAGGTAAAGTAGTCCCATGATACAAGTTAACAAAACAACTATGTCAACAAATAATGCAGAATCTCGATGGCTTGAAATTTCATACCAAAATAGAAAAGTTATACTGTGTTAGAAACCACTATCCTTCTAAACAGGATGGCAAGTATATTACAATGTCAATAATATCATGAGGGCCAACAGAAAAGCAAGAATAAAGCCAAGACTTCTCCCCATGTAGAGAGGGTAAATGTCACACAGAAGCATGATGCCACCTCTGTGCTTTTAAGCAGAGTTAAAGAACACTTTAGGAAGTCAGTGAACACATAACAGAAGTTAAGACTTGATCCTGACTAGTTCATAGGGCCTGGTATGAAATGTTACTGCAGAATAGCTGCTCTGTCACAGCAACTGTAAAGCACGCGGACTCAATACACGCATTCAAATGACAAATACAAGAAACCCACTGACATTGTGCTTAGCTCAGGGAGAGGAACAACACGTAAGTGAAAAGCAATTTCTCAGTGAAAAAGAATAGTCAAAACAACAAAAACATCATAAGCAGCCTGTATATTTTAAAGCCACATAACTGGAAGTTCAGAGTACACCCACACAACCTGCAGCTTCTGCGCTGTATGTATGCCTTTTCAGGGTCCATTAGCTCAGAAAAGATACAATGTAGCTTTGAAAGGTTCAGGGAAAGCGATGACCTATTGAGAGGGAATGGCTCCCAAATTAGGAAAGACTACACAGTTGCAATCTTCCAGGCAGCAGAACACAGTTGTGGTGGGATAGGATAAAAGCTTGTAAATCCAGATGTGAAAGGAAGAAAGGCTGATGAGGGAGACTGCCTAGTGCCTCTTCAAACACCAGAGATAGACTTGAAACAGGGCTTGCAAGAGGCAGGTTCAAAACCAGAACAAACAGAAGTGGGGTTTTTTTGGGTGGTTTTTTTTTTGTTTTGTTTTTTTTTTTTTTTTTTTTTTTTTCCACAGACCTGTTGCACGGTACACCTCGCTCCAGGAAAGGCTTGACAGACTTCAGAAGAGAGCCCTTGAGGGAGCATCCCCCCCGGTTCACCGTCTTCTTACGGACTTCCCTGTGCTTCTGTTGGGAGCTGCTGCAGAGGACGTGACACTGGACCAGGGCTTCGATCTAACTACACACATAAGCACTGCAAACTGTCAAACATAGCCAGGTCCCAGATATGCCAATCAAGTTTTAATTTTCAAGCCTCCTTTCCTCAACCCTTCCCACACGAGGAAAAAGTCAGTGGGCTCATTGCTGTGGGCACCGGAATCTGGGGCTCCCTCCTTTATTCCTTCAACTGCCCCGTTATTGAGAACACCAACTGTGGGGAGGCCCTGCGCGGCACCTCAAGCCCAGGACGCGGCGCACCTCAGCGGGGCGGGACGGGAGGGGACGCTCCGCCGCCACTGCCCCCTCAGCCCCGGCAGACACCGAGGGAGACGCAGGCCCGAGCTCGGGACACCACGGGAAAAGCGGAGCACGCAGGGGCCGGGCCAGGCCGGGCCGAGCCACGTCCCACCCTCCCGCAGCGGCCCGCAGACCCCCGCCACGCCGCCGGGCCCCCACCTACCGCCGCGCCCTGGGCCGCTCCCGCCTCCGCCGGGGCAGCGGCAGGAAGTCCCGCCTCTGCGGCCGCCGGGGATTGATTGGAGGGCGGCAGGGCGGTGCCGGCTAGGCTGTTACTATGGGAGCCGGGCACGCCTCAGCGGGGTCGGGCAGAGGCCGCCGCCCCCCGCCGGAGGCTTCCTAGGGCAAGGGAAGGGCGGCAACAGGGCCGGCCCGGAGCCTGGCGGCTGCGCCGCTGCCGTGTCCTTCTCCCTCGCTAAGGTTTCGAGGTCTATGTCTCCAACGGCTGCCCGCGGGTGCGCGCGCTGGAGCGGCGCGTCCCGGCGTTATGGGGCAGCAACGAGTCTGAGACGCTGAAGCAGCTCGGGCCCCAAGTTCAAAATACAGTTCCACTATATAAAGAAAATCGTTTGACAAAACGTTGCTGACGGCGGTTTTTTGTTGGTGATGGTGTTCGGGGTGACAAAGCTGGGGCACCCACGCACGGCTTCAATACGCAAGGACCTATACTACAGCACCGAAAACGAGTCCTCTGTTTTCAAATGCTTTACTATACAGGAAAGAACCGAGTGCCTTGAAAACCACCCCCCCTTCCTAGCCGTAGCTGAGCCCGTGGACCAGCACAGCCCGGTAGCGGGAAAAGGGCGCTGCCAGCGCAGACCGGCAACGCTCCCACACTGCGGCGGGGGCTGCCCCTACCCGGGGCGGGGGCCAAGCGTGCTTCGCGGCACTCCTCCTTTGCCCCGGCTGCGCCCTGGTGAACAGCACGGCCTCCCGCCGAGGCCGCCAGCCGCGGGCCGACGTGATGACGCGCCGCGACCGCGCGTAGGCGTGGGGGCGGCCCTCGCGCGGTGCGGCCGTTGGCCGGGGGTGGGGCGGTGCCGTGCCCCCGCCCCCCTCCCGGCCGCTGACCCGGGGACGCGGCGGGCTGCGGCCGTCCGACGGAGTTGCTGTCGTTGCCTGGCTGAGCCCCGGGTGCCCTGCGGGCTCGGCGGGAAGCCGAGGCCAGGGATGGGCCTGATCTTCGCCAAGCTGTGGAGTCTCTTCGGTAGCCAAGGTGGGCGCGGGGGCCCGGAGGTGGGGCGGGCGGCCCGCTGGTGGGGAGGGTGAGGGTGAGCGAATGGAACCCGCAAGGCTGAGGGGGCCGCAGGCAGCCGCCGGAGGTCGGGGGCCTGCTCTGGGCGCCGGGCTTCCCCTGAGGGCGCGCCCGGGCAAAAGTTGGGTTTTTTTTTTGTGCAGCGCCCTGAGCGCTGGTGCCGCGGTGCCTCATGCTCGGAGTCGCTTTGTTTCTCTGGCTGAGGTGGTCCCGTCCTCTCCCCATTCCTTTCTCGCCGCTCTAAGCGCCTCCTTTATCCCGGACAGACCTTCAAGCGGTGTGCTCCCGAGTTCACGTAGTGAGTAGTGAATGCAGCTGCCTCTCAGACGTGATTTTTTTCACCGTTGAAGCTTTGATGGATGGCAGTCTTGTTTGTCTTTGCAGACACTCCGTTTTTAAGTCGGTCTGCCGCTAAAATCATGCTATTTTTATCTTTAGAAAAAAAACACCAAAATTCTGTTGGGACCCTTGACGTAAAGATCTGTCTGTGTTGGCAGAGATGCTAGTTAAATACAGTTTGTGACCCAAGAAAATCAGTTCTCAAGGCAAGAATAGAAAGGTCATAAGGGGATAGCTTTCCATTCTCTCCTACCTAGTGGACCCAGCCCCACAGTAATGGCTCATGCTCTAATCCAGAGTTCAAAACTTGTGGCTGCCACCACCCTCAGCTCAGACAGTTACAATAAAAACATAAAATTATATTTCATCTGTTTATTTTATTGAATCTTGTTTACCTAGACTTATTTGGTTAGAAAATAAAATAGTCAAGGGATTTATCATTTGTGTTGTTTTTCCTTGAGGCCCTGCATTTGGAGCAAGCAAACTGATGTTAATGTTACTGTTCTCTCATCAGGTTTCCAAACATACGCTTCATTCTCACTTTAAAGTTACTAAGAATGTAGTTAAGGTTTTTGTGCAACACTGGTGCCGATACAGTTTTGCAGGTTTTGGGAGGCAAGTACACCTTGTGTCCCTTTAATAGTCTTGTCACTGTGAGTGTACATAACCCATTGTAAACCTCAGTGTGTGTACATATTAAGATCTATGTATCAAACTGTATTTTCACGGGATATGAATGTGAGGGAGATCCAGACCATTTATCTTTTCCCCACATACACTATCCCACCACATCATTCCTGAAGTCATCCAACAGTCTTCTGAATTTTTTGTTGTTGATTTCAAGATTCTTGTTTTTCTGAGCTGGAAAACCCATTTGTTAAGATTCAAGGATCCCCCTGTTCTCCAGAAAACTGTTTACTGTCTTGGTTTTCACTACATACTGTAATCTGCAACTCCTTTCCTTCTGTGAAGGAGTCCAAGAGATGTCTATAAGCAGACAACCGGTCAGCAACTAACTTCTGGTGGCCTTTAGTGTTGGTCTATATGGTACCTTATGGTGTAAATATTTATCTTCAAGAAGGAAGGAAGAGGTGTGTTTTTGTTGTTTTCATTTTGTTTGCTTGGTTTTTTAGTACATGACAACATTAGACTACCTTGATTCTATTTCATTAGTGGAAAACACATTGTCTTTGTTACTGTATATTAATTCCTGAAAGGAAAGTTATTCTTCATACATTTAAAATATTCACAAAAATTAGTATCACAGTTAAGATTGATGAGGCACTAGCGTGAAATACTTACCATTTGGCTTTTATCCCAATGAGAGGCTTCTGAGATGTGTTCTGATCCTTTGTTGCTGGGGTTCTTTTCAGTTTGGTTTATTCAGGTGTTTTTTGCCCCCTCTTCTTGTGGTGACCATATAGAAAAAAGTGATTTTATTTTCAGGGCCAAAATTGAAATTCTACCCTAGAAAATTCTCCCCTAGAAAATTTTCTTCAAACTGAAAGTTTTGAACCATGTAGTGGGAAAAGATTCTCTACTTTCATTACTATTTTCCTGTAAATAATAAAGGGTAGTAATTAGCGAGTTTGTTTCAGTTGCTCTTCTAGTTATACCAAATCTAGACAATTTTATTGGAGAATTCATAGCCTGTCCCATGAAACTGCTTGTTGAGCAGACTAGCACAGTAGCTTAAAAAATGATTTTCACTATCTAGAGGGAATGTGCCAAAGATACAAATAGACCCCAGTGTGTTTCATCACTTCATCATGGCTGGTGTGGTTTGTGCTGATAGTCTGAAGCACTTTATATTGGCAAAATTAAAGGTTAAACAAAACAAAGATTTAGAAATTACCATCTGTCTTCCATCAAGTGGAGCATGGGGGAGGAGGTGAGGAGGTATGCCTGAGTACTAGAAGATACAGAACAGGAAATTGTTGGCATTTCACCGAATATTAATTATGCACTGCAGTTTTGCTTTACATAAATGTGAATAATAGCTCTGTTGAAAGTGCCGAATCTAAAAGGTATTTGATCAGTAATGTCTGGACAACGTTAAAGAAATATCTACTGGTGATCTAATACCATTAACTCACAGGAAGTTGATATATTGGTAGATTTCTGAAAAATGCACATCTTAAGATACCTAACATCTTAAAATAAGCCCCATGTGTTTTTTGTGCCTAGAGGTTCAGTGTAGTTAGAGTAAATGCGCAAGGTACAGAAAATCGAGTTTATTCAGTGACTTCTGCCTGGCGGGAAAACCTTGTAATGAAGGTACCTTAGATCCTGTGAAAGCACTGGATGTCATTTTATTAATTTACACATCATCTTTGCTACTCTTGCTCTTTGATTCTCTTACCATCCTTTCCAATTATAAGGATGAGGTACTGAAAAGAAGGTCAAGAGACTTCACCTAATTGTTTCTAAAGACATTCAATGATAAGTGTTTGTTAACTGATATTACCTGCTGACCTTTTCCAGGAGCATTTCTTACTATTTGTATTCAACTGTTTCAGCCCTGTGACTTGAGTAGCATCTGTGTGTTCCTACCAGGGAGATAAATCAGTAGTTCTGCTTGAGCTCACTGTACATGCAGCAGAATTTGTTCCAGTTGGTTCAGCCCATTTTGATTATGGTTAGCCCATTTTGGCAAACACAGACTGGCTCATGGTGGAAAATGTAACGGTTGAAATAGTGTTGTGTGGCTTTGACCTGTGATGGGAACTTTTAAAAGGGAAAAGCCTTCAGTTCTTTTTTTTCCTGTTTCCCTGGCAGAATGCACTTGATTTTCCTTTGCAGTGTACCATCTACTCTCCAAATCTGGTATGTGGGATTATGGAACAAGAAAAACTGCAATGCACACCACTTTAAGGAAACTGGGTGATGCCTGTGCTGATCTGAGTCAAGGACTAATGGAAGAGAAGAAGGCTATCGGTCTCTGCCCTGAGTGAGCACAGTCCAACAGGGAACAATCTATTTAGTTCTGTGGATATGTTTGGAAGGGCTAATTTCCAGTTTGAGTTTGGCAGTAGTTTTTAAACAGTGGCTGTTTCTGTTTATGTGGTACTAGTGGTCAAAACTGTTCCAGTGCCTTATTTATTCTTATTGTTTTCTGGTCTCTGTGCCCTTTCAGTGCAGAGGTTAAAACTTGGAGGAAGACAATAAGCATTTCTGTTTCTTTCAGATTTCAATATATATTGTCTCTTAATCAAGTGGTAATTGAACAATGTGAACTGGGAGATACTTTACTCATAAGAGAAACAGTTGGCTTAAAAATAGTTTGTCTTTTTTTCTACGTGACTTCCTGATGGCTTCCTGATTATTTTTCCTTATTTTTGAAATTGACAAAGAACATTGTTTTCATTTAAAATATTGTGCTCTGCAGACATTTTAAAGTCTAGTTACAAAGTATCATTAGTTCAGATTGAATTTGCACTTACTTTGAAAATAATTAAAAGTGTGTTCATAAAAAATCGGACTTCAAAAATGACCCATTTAAGGTATGATTCAGTACTCAAATGGCACAGTCTTCTGAGCATCATGTAGTAGTATGAATAAATGGTGGAGCAACTAGCTTATTGCCTGTGTTAACACATAGCTGAATAAAACTTGCTTGACTTATCATTCCATCAATACTATTAAGATTGCTCTTAATGAAACTATAAGGAAAAAACAGAAATGAATGTTGGCAATTCTGACAGTTGACAGTACCTTATTTCTTTGTGTGTGTGTGTGGCTGATACAGTTTTTTAAGAAGTTCACAAATCTGTATCTTAATTTTTTTTGAATAATAGGCATTCAAAGTCTTTCAGGTTACTCTGTATAAATGCTACAGGTGTTAAAAAGCTGCTGTAAGAAAAATAATGGTAAGCTCTAGGTCAAGGTGGTAAAACTTCTGTAACTCCAGTTTACTTCTGTCAGCAAGCCTAAGGGTTCCCAGACTGTACAGTCAGGTTATCAGAGACCATTACCTGTAAAACCAAATGGATTTTTGTTCCAGTGGCTACGACAGGCTACTTTCTTGTAATCAAGTCTGGAAATAAAAGATGTATTTAAATAGTTTTTTTGTGCTTAAAAGAAGACTCTAAGGCAGCTTCTAGTGTGCAGTATGAATCCTTGTTTTGAAATGTGTTTGAACTTCAGTAAAATACTATTCCTTCTGCATCCTTCCTAGAAAACTTCTGTCTGCATTCTGTTTACAGCCTTGAAGCCTCCAAGATTGTTATTCTTTGGAACTAGATGTGGGGTTTGTGTTTCACAGCCTGAAAAGTATAGATACCTTTTCCAATATTCATTTCTTCTTTCAAATATGTTGGAAATGAGCCTTGCTCATCTTTATTCATATTTTTTTTTTTTTTTAATTTTTGCAAATGAGAAAGAGGAAAGGACAAAGTTGTGAAAATTTAATCTTAGTTTGGGATCCTTTTACCACAGAGGAATTTAGAAAAATAAGTGAAGAAAAGAGCATATTATGTGTTCCTTCTAACATCTGAAATATCACCTTCAATATCTTATAATTTCTGTGGTACTGGACTGCCAGAGATTTTTTTTAACAATACAATATATATATATATATATTTTTTAATAGTCTGTCAGGAGTGGTTGATATAACAGAATTCTTTGGATTCTTTTAAACATTAGTTTAATACTGTCTTTTTTCCCCTCGCATATGCCTACTTCTTCTACTTATTTTTTCCCCCCCTTTCAACCTGATTTATAAAGACTGCTCTGGCAACTCTGTTATGGATTTTCTTCTTTTCCCAAGAACATAGTGGATTGGGAAGATAATAATGAATACAACCCAAACTGAATTTTAATACCAGCCAGTGAAAGGGAAAAACTTGGGTTAGTCCGTAAGTACAGAACACAAATATGAGCATAAATCACTGCCTATGTTTTACTTCATAACTGTCCTTTCTCTTAAATGGAGCATCTATCTTCTACTAGTTGCTCTTGTAAACAAGTACTTGGCTTGCTAAAATTTTGTTCTGTCTTAGTTTAGCAGGTTTTAAGTTCACATGTTTTTCCTCTAATGCACATATAAGTAAAAATTCTGTAACCAAGCTAGACACAAACATATTCAAAAGTTGAATTTCTAAGTAAAAAGTTTTCCATTACCTTAGATAACAGTTCTGGAAGCAACTGCCATTAATAAAAGGTGGAAACTGTTATTTGTAAGATAGTGGTGCTTTCATCATATTATTTTCATCCCCAAATCAACATTAGTTAACATTTGTGTGACTGTTTCTTGTTTGTGCTTACCCAGTTACTGTATAAAATACCATTTGACTATGGAGTAGAACAGGTAAGCTGTGCCTCTTTCTCCCAATTAGTGTTAAACCATTCACACTTTAGTAGCTTTCAAAAACAGTCACCTCAATGGAGACTTTTTTTTTTTCCCCCACTACTTTAAGTAGCATGATATTGTTTTATCCAACACTTCTCATTAATTCCTAAGACTCTATATTCTGATGTGAAGGTAGGAAAGAGCACTGTAATAGTTGACTGGAATTTTTTGTCTTTTCTTCCATGAAAATAACTCAAACAGAATGTTGCAAAAGCAAAATCATATTCTTCTGGGCAATAGCTGACAACATGGTTATTGTGGAAGCAACACAGGAGTATTTCTGTGTTTGAACTTTGAAAGCCCTTAAACTTAACTAAATTTGAAGAAGACATGGACAGTATAGCTATGTGACATGTATTAGAGTTGAAAGCAGAGAGGATTTCATATCATCCATGTATTGGGAAAGGTTATCGATTACTGATGCTGCTGCTTATGGGGCTAAAAGTATTACTGGGGTTAAGGCTAAGAAAAGATCTTCCTTAGAATGTGATGTCAGGATGCAGTAGTAAGGGAAGTGATACAAGGAAATAACTTTTATCATTTGTTAGGGCCATATCGCATAGCAAAACTTCTAAAAGTCTCAAGAAAGAGTTTGTTTTATTAAAATCACTTTCAATATGAAAAGACCTATGTTATTACATATAAATAGATATAAAAAAAAAAAAGAAAACAAACACTTAAATTCTTCCTTAGACTGACCACTCACAGGCAAAAAAACCCACCAACTTGATATTTAAGGTAAGTCTTATGACCTTTTAGTAATTTGTTATAAGTCTTATAGAATGAATATGGTATTTTAGAGGAAATCTTTAAGCTGTGAACCATGTTTTGCTCTAGAATAAGTGACCTAGAATTTTAAATACTACCCCTTCAAAAGTGAACCTGTTTAGACCTATGTAAGTTTTACTTCTAGTATCCATTTTTAAATTCTCTGCTCTTAACTGATTTGCTTTTGTGTCAGTAAGTGGATCAGTATCTTCTAACTTTACGCATGTATCAAAAGAACCACCATACTAACTGGCTGTCCTGATGTATTTCATGTTCTAAGTATTAACTACAGAGAAGCATATAACTTCTGGGTTTTTTCTGTTGTTTTTGTTTGGTTTTGTTTTTGTTTCCCTTATGGCTGGAAAAATAACATTGTAGCATTTGGAAGATCATTATTCTATAAGCTGGACATTCCAGCAGGTTGAGGGAGGTGATCTTTCCCTTCTACTCAGCACTAGAGAGTCCTCACCCAGAGTAGTGTGTCCACTTCCAGGCTTCTCAGTACAAGAGAGACGTGGACATACTGGAGAGAGTCCAAGCAAGCATGACAAAGATAACGAAGGGACAAGAGCATCTCTTACATGAGGAACGGCTGAGAGCGCTGGGACTGTTCAGCCTGGAGAAGAGGCTCAGGGGGGGTCTTGTTAATGTGTATAAATACCTGAGTGGAGAGTTCAAAAGTGACAGAGCCAGGGTCATCTCAGTGGTGCCCAGTGACGGGACCAGAGTCAGTGGGCACTGAAACACAGGAGGTTCTCTCTGAATATCAGGAAACACTTTTTCACTGTGAGGGTGGCTGAGCACTGGCACAGGTTGGCCAGGGAGGTTGTGCAGTTTCTACCCTTGGAGATACTCAAAAGCTGTCTGAATGCAGTCCTGGGGAAGTGGCTCTAGGTGGACCTGGTTGAGCAGGGAGCTGGACCATACAGCCTCCAAAAGTGTCTTCCAACCTCGACCATTCTGTCATTTTGTGACTTTTCAGTTCAGAAGTTGCAACGTTGGAATTTGTGATCCATTAAAAATACAGCTTTCTCTTAATTTTTATTGTGCTAATTATGGTGGTCCCTTAACAAGTGGTTGTTATTGAGCCTTGAAAGTTAGGCTAATATTTTGTGCAGTTAAATGTTTGGTGATGTTCTTAAGATGATACACTGCTTTAAGTGATATTTTTTCATTTTACTTTTCTTTCTAAAACTAGATTCTTTTAATGAAATAATCATATTAGTAACTATTCCTTTATGAAGACTTCCAGTACTGACTTTTCTCAAAACTTTAGTCTCAAGAGAAGATGAGGGTTTATGGATTTTTTTTTTTCTGTCCTGAAGTCACCAGTATTCTGTGTAAGCTATTGAAATAAGACGAACAAGCAGTTACTTTCTTCAGTAAGGAAAAGTGATTAATCAGAATTATAATTATTGATGTTTTCGCTAATTTGTTCTTGTCTTTTTTGTGTTTATGCAGAGCATAAAGTAATCATAGTGGGACTTGATAATGCTGGAAAGACTACTATTCTTTACCAATTGTAAGTATATGAACTATTTTGGTTTTCTGATTGCATTTTGGTATTTGTTACTGTTTAATCATTGAAAATTCAGCTTTGCAAACTGGTGAAATCTCTGGGGTTCTAGATCACAGTTTGCCCATTAATAGTCTTAGTCATTCTAAACAGAGTAAATATTTAAATGATAAGTGAAGGAACTGCAGCGTTTTAAAACTGAACTGTAAATTGAATAACAAAAATTTTACATACAGACAAAAAGTGAACTGGAAATTCTTTTGCCATCAAAGCCTATCCTGTCACCAAGAACCACAGAGAAGGAATTGATTTTTAAATTAATGGAAATTCTAGTCATTCTGCAAAAATCCATAAATGTTTCCTGATTCCCATGTCTAAAATTTATGTTGGTGTCCTGGGTTGAGTGAGTGGTGGGGTTTTTTTGGTGGCAGGGGAGGGGGCTATCGGGGCGGCCCCCTGTGAGAAGCTTCTCGAAGCTCCCCCAGCTCCAAGTCAGCTTCACTTCTGTTTGGGAAATTGAGCCAATCAGCTGCGCCTCTGCATTAACGTGTTTAAGAAGGGACGTGGTGACGGGCAGTCAGACTTGTGAGGAGGAGTTGCTGCAGCTGCATGAACACCAAGGTCAGTGGGGGAACGGAGGAAGAAAGGAGGGGGGAGGTGTGCCGGAGCAGAGACCCCCCTGTATCCTGTGGTGAGATGGCAGGGCGCCCCCCCTCTGCTGCCCATGAAGATCTACAGTGAAGCAGACACTGATTTATGGCCTGTGTTTGTTTTCACCTGGATGAGCAAGGTGCTGTGCCCGAAGAAGGCCGGGGTCTTGTGGGAAAAGGTAGCCCCACTGCTGCAATTCAGCGCTGGGAGGATTGCAGCATGTGGGGGAGTCCCACGCCGGAGCAGCTCGGGAAGGGCTAAAGCTGTGGGAGAGAATCCAGTTGGAGAAATTTGGTGACCCACGATGGAGCAGTGTGGGGAACGCTGCAGCCTGTGGGAGGAACTCATGTCGGAGAAAGTTTGTGGAGGACTGTCTCCTGTGAGAGGGGGACCATGATGGAGCAGGAGGAAGAAGTTCCAGAAGCTGTCCCCACTGAAGATAAAGAAAGTGGCAGCGCTGACTGCACCCCCCATTCCCTGCCCCTGCGCCGCTGGGGGAGGAGGTAGAGATATTGGGAGCAGAACTGAGCCCGGGAAGAAGGGAGGGGTGGGGGGAAGGTGTTCTCAAGATGTGGCAATGTTTCTCACTGTCCTACTCTGTTATGTGTTGTTAGTGCCTGTAATAAAGGTATGTTCTTTTTTTTTCTTCCCCTAACAAGTCTGCTTTTTGCTCGTGACCATAAAGGGGGATTTTTTCCCCCATCCCAGTCCTATCTTGAACCCCAAGCCTGGCTCTCTGTCCCTTCTTATTGCTGGAAGAGAAGGGAGAGAGAGAGTGGCTGCATGGTGGTTGGCTGCCGACCAGGCCTAAACCATGACAGATGGCAGATTCCTCAACATAGTATTTCATCTTGCCTGGGTCCTACCTTAAGCATTTTCAATAGCATCACTGCACCCAAGTCTTGTCATTGCTACAAGAATATCTGTGATAAATTCAAGAATATTGGCAGGGACATAATTACTATTGTAATTGTGGAAAAGGAGTAGTGTATAGCCAAATTACTATGCATATATTTGATATTAAGGCAGCAGAGGATGTTTTCCAAAAAAACTCTTTTTTCTAAGTACTTTTCACAAAGCTTAAATGTAGAACTAATAATTTTTCAGCTATGTAAGCAAACAGTTCTTTGGAATTTGTTTTAATATTGAATTACTAAATTGAGTGCTCTGAAAATTATGTTCTGATTTACATTTTGCACAGTTTAGAGTTCCCCTTATTTGGGATCTTTAGAATAGCAGCTTCTACTTTGAAACAAGTGCATTTTATGTATACATTAGAGTGTCCTTTAAAAAGAGAAGCTTCTGAAAATGCAGATGCTTATCCATTTGTTGTAAGCCTTTTATGTGCTTATTTTTCGTTGCTGATATCTTCAAGCATGTCTATAGTCTCTGCTACAAAAACACACTAGAACTTTATCAACCATGGTTTTTAGTCCAAATTCAGGTTGAACTAATCTTTTTAATAAAGAATTGCTCTTAAGTATTTGCTTAAAAATTCAAATACATAAATCTTTGAAATTTGCCCTTTTTTTTTTTTTTTGTCAGTGTTACACATATTTACTTTTTCTACAACAAATTTGTTGCAATTGAGCTGTGACAAGCCTTGTGGATTTTACTGGCCGGTCTTTATGGTGTGATATTATCTCCTTTAGCTTAATGAATGAAGTCGTTCATACTTCTCCAACCATAGGAAGCAATGTAGAAGAAATAGTGGTGAAAAACACTCATTTCTTAATGTGGGATATTGGAGGACAAGAATCATTACGGTCGTCATGGAATACCTATTACTCAAACACAGAGGTATGAGATGTTGCATCGAAGTCTGCAAATTCAAGTTTGTTTGAAATTATATTTATTTATTAGGAATTGGTAGATTTTTATAAATATTTCAGCTGTATTGTTTTTAAACATTTTTGAGGAAGAACAAATCCAAAAAGTGTAAAGTGTCTCTGGTATGCGGACAATTTTCTGGTAATATTTGAAGTATTTTTCCTGTATACTTTACAGTAATATTGTTTGATCTATGTAATAAAATGTGAAGTTAGACTTTTTTCCTGGACAATCAAATGATATCAAAATACATTTCAGATCAAACAGGTGTTTTGCATGTTTTTTCAAGTAGATTAAAAAAAAAAAATGGCAGTGTGCTTTGCAAATTTGATGCGTATTTGCCAATGGTTACATAACTTCTATACATCTAGTCTGAAATGTTTTTGCGGTAATGATAATTAAGGATGAAGAATGACATTTTCTCTAGGCAGCAGTATTTAAAAATCTTATCAGCTTGTGGCTTTTATCCAAAGGATAAAGGAAAGTCTAGCTGTGCAGTACTTATGAGGTACAGGTGAAGCTGCCATTGCTGGAAAGGTTGGAGTAGAACTCGGCAACAGTTGCCTTTTGGCAGTTTGTTTTTTATGCTAGTCATTCGATGCTAAAAGCTTATCAACATGACAGGCACATAAAATCTCCGTAGCCTCACTTTGAGACTTCTACACCGGTGTAAAAGATTTTAGACTTAATTTCTTACCATTTGTACTAAAAGCAGAGATCTCTTGTAGGTATTACTCTTTGTAGAAGCATTCCATCCTCCTGTAAAATGAGGATTTCTGTCCCATGCCCCCTTTTGAGAGAGGGGAGATTAGTGATCCACCCCAGATGTTCAGAAACTTTTTATCTACTGAAAGCCTGGTGATAACATCTCAACCGTCATCTCTAGTATTTTAAACTTATTTTTAATTTTATCTAGAATAGTATGGCTACATCTAGGACAGACATGAGGGTAAAGAGACTTCTGCCAGCATTATGGGGTATGATAACGATAAGTTCTTGACATTCGTCCATTGAGAAACTTTGATTTTGGAATTTGAGTAGATGCATGTATTAGTTCTTTTTTTTTGATCATTTTGGGATGTTCATCATCATGTTCTGGCTAGTTAATGTTTGAAATCCAGTGCTTTCTAGCACTTGGAAAGAATTTTCCCTTAGAAGCTTTGTCTTCTGGAAACAGTTGAGGGAGGAAAGGGCTCTGTTTAGTATGCTAATCCTAGCCTCCCTGATAAGAATAATTTCTTTACTGTTCTTCCTCATCTGCTAGACATCTCAAAATCACAGCAGCATTAAATTGACTTAGTTTTTCATACTTTGTTGTAATTTTTGATGGGTAATGAGTCTCCTTCATTTTATAAGGCAAAGTGGTTTGGAGCATATGTAGGAGAATCATAGTGGTGACTTGTATTCCTACTTTTTTGTTAATATCTCTTTTCTCTCTGTAAATTGAAGCAATTTAAACAAAATCTTTGGAGTAATGTAAAAATTCTACAAATAAGCTTTTCAGTCCATACCTGTTCTAATTAGTTTCAAATTAACACTGCTAATTCTGCAATTCTGTTTTAAGTGTCAGTATTCTTGCAGAAAGGGCATTGAGACAGGCTTACAGACACAGGATTTGGGAGGAGAGGAAAGAGGAGGAAGCTCTCATGGTTAAGTTATTGGGGGTGGAGGGCAGAGTATGAGCTACAGTAAAAGAAAAAGGACGGAAAAGTATTCCCATCTAGGGAGAGAAGTCTGTCAGGTGAATGTAATCTCCTTGGTTTCCTCTCCAGTGCAGCATGGGTTCCCTGTAATTTTTTTTTCTTTTTTTACAGTATCTGTATAATTTTCATCAGAGTGTGCTTGTTTTCCCTATTCATTGTTCCCACCTACGATGCTGTTAGCACTGCTTGGGGCACACTCTGGGCAGGACAAGTGTTGAACACTGATCAGTTGTTATGGTTTGTGTGTAATGCTTACAAGCATTTACTTGAGTATTACCTGTGTAATGCCATGTCTTTTTCCTCTCTAGTATAAGGCTATAAAATGGAAGGTACAAAACATGTACAAAACATTGTTTTAATAGCTGTTTTATTAATAACTGTGTAGCAAGTTTGTCATCCACATTTTAAATGTAAGCCACTATCTGTAGGTGCTTTTGGTACCTACATCAATACTTCGTTTATGATGTAGGGCCTGAAAATCCACCAAAGAGATTTAACTATACTACATGGAAGTAGATTTTAATAATAGTGCTGAAATATACAAGCACAATAATTTATTATTTTTAAACTGTAATCTTCATGTATGATTGCCAGTGCTCTAGCAAAAGACTGTAACAATGAACCTCATGTTCTATTTTCTAGCATGCTCTGAAAGCCTGTGTGTTTCTCATATAGGAAGACTTGTGGCAATGGCCTCTTGAAAATATGCTTTCTGTAATTTATACTTTGTACTTACATACTGTACTATTGTTTTTTCTCCTAGTTCATCATTCTTGTTGTTGACAGCATTGATAGAGAACGACTTTCTATTACAAAAGAAGAACTTCATAGAATGCTGGCTCATGAGGTATGGCGAGGAGTTGAGATAATAGTTTTCTTCTGTTGTGACCAGTCAAATAACATTACATGCTTCCTATGTTAGAAAAAATAATACTGTCACAACAAAATTTCTGAGCCTGAATGTGCATGCATGTTCATCACATTTTAAAACCATGTAAATTACAGATAAACAGGAAAATTACTTTGAAGCACTCTTAGAGGTCTTGCTTGATTGTAATCAAATCACTCTTTACTTCACATTGAAATTGTGAAATATCTTAACCTTCGTATTTGTGTAACTGGGTATTATTGTTCACCACCACTATCTCTCTTCTTTCAGTTAAATGGTTAAAATTTCAAGAAGCTTTTTTTTAATTTTTATTTTAGAAAGTAGGCAATTCATTTCTCTTTCTTGTTTTAATCTGGTTCCTTAAAAATAAGGAGCACATCTAATACGATGGATAAATTAGTTTCAGTTCAGTTTCCTTCTGAGTTAATTTGCGTGTTGTTTTATGATTTTGTTGTATTGAGAACTGTTCAACACTGGGTCAACTGTCTCAAACATCCTAAATTAACATCCACATTGGATTAGCTAAAGTACATTAAAACTTCTGTGACCACCCTCAAACTAAATTAGGATTCTTTTAAATCTAAGTATCTCCCTTTCGTTTCGAAGGAAAAGGATGTAGTATAATGCAAATAATTCTGTGGAGCTCATTTCTCTGAGAGATTTGCATTGTTTCAAATGAATGAGGCTTTCACTTTATAGTTAATATGAATGTAGTTTGGGTCTGGTAGTAAGGAGCAAATCCACTACCAAAAAAGGTGGAAAGATGACTTTTTGTGGTGAAGTTTTCCCATATAACGTATTAGTTTCCAGTGTTACAAATTTATGAGATTGTGATCTACCATCTCTTGAAAACAGTCAGTAGGCCTAGACTAGACTACTTGTAGGAGGGAATCTTCAACTTTGGACCATAAAGGTTTGGGCTTTTTTTCTTGATGGAGAAGTAGTCGCAAAATTTAATATACATTTAAATGTGTTGAACACTTTTAATTACAACTGTCAGCTTCCTGAGTATTGCATTTGTTTACCCTTCTGCACTCCTAGAACCATACATCCCAGTTCTTTTCTCATTGCTATGTGGAATCCTAATTTCCATACAGGAACAGACCAACTTGTCATTAGTTTTTCTTTTTACTGAAGCTGCTGCAGCATTATTAGAGCTCCCTTTTTGGAACAATAGGATAGAATTTAAAAGAATTTAGATAGCTTTCTTAAATTGTTACTGCTTTAATCACTACAGAACTTGTTTAATGAAGTTGAAAATAATTTCAAGGGAATGATATCTAGCAGGCTTTTTCATTTGAATAGTATCTAATCTAGATTTTGAAATATTTATTCAGTAATAATTCTGCTGGATGGATGGTTTGGAGCTTTATGGAATAAATTTTAACAAGACTCTCATTAGTTAACATATGAACATGTGGTCAACACCAAAAGTGTAGTCATATAATACATTATAATTTGATTCTCTGTGGTGGAGAAGACTTAAAAATAAATTGGTTTCTTCATCTTTATGTAATTAATTGTTAATGCGCTAAGTCTGTTAAAACTCCATGCTGCTTTGTAATTTTAGATTATCTTGAATGCAGTTCTTAGAAATTCCATTAACACAGTTGCCTTTTAGTTCTTTATAATAACTTTTACGAATGCTTCAAATTACTTCTAGGATTTACGGAAGGCTGCAGTTCTCATTTTTGCAAACAAGCAGGACATGAAAGGGTGCATGACAGCTGCTGAGATATCTACATACCTCACGCTTAGTTCCATAAAGGATCACCCGTGGCACATTCAGTCCTGTTGTGCTTTGACAGGAGAAGGGTAAATGCTTACTGCTTATTATAGTAGTATATGGTAAATAAGAATACTGATTTAGAAGCCTATTGACACCAATGTGCATTTCCTGAATGAACATATTTTCTGATCTTTGCAGTCAGAGGGACATTTTGAATTTTTCCTTTTCTTTATTGAGCCTTGAGGATTTTTTTCCCTAGCTCAAACTCCAAATTTGTATGAAAGTCTTTCAACTTACTGTTTTAAAAAAAAAAAACAAACCACAACTCAAACAACAACACAAAAAAACTCCAACACCCCCCACACACACACATCCAAATATGTAGCTGTTGGCATAATTGTTTACTCTCTGTGCCCTACTCTTGTTCAGTGTTTTCGTGTAGTTAAAGAAATAAGCTACTGTCACTTCCTTTACATTATGATCTGCTGTAAGCTTCTAACGTGGTGATGGGGGTTGGGGTGGTTTTGGTGTTTTGCTTTTTTTTTGTTGGTTTGATTTTTTGATAAGCGTTCAATCATAGTTTTGATGAAAAGGTAAATAGGTCTGGCATAAAACAAAATTGTTACCAATATTAAACCTTTTATTTATATCTGGCTGACGTAGCTAATTTTGTAACTTGTATAGATTATGCCAGCAATTCTAACATGGAAATCTAAGCTTTACTTAGATCCTTTGTCTGTAAAGATCAAAAATCATTTTTGGATGCCTGCAACAAATTGGACAGTGTTTGCTTACGTGGTTTGAAGTGTTCTAATTTTTCATCTTGATTCTTAAAACAGTCTGCTATTGTGTAATAGTTAGAGGGTTTTTGCAGCTGTATTATACAACCTTTACAATAATATGGTCTTGTAACATCAAAAATAGTGAATCCGACTGAGTATTTGGGAAGTGAGAGCATCTCCCTCACTTCTAACATGAAATATTTTCTAATGTAATGGAGATGTCTTGTAGTGATTGGTAGTATTCACTTCCTTAGGGTGGGATGTGTGAGTGAAAACAAACTTTTTTTGATTGAGTCTTTGGATTGCATTGCTTCATTCTAAGAGTTAACTCTGCTTTCCTCCTACTAGTTTTGCCAAAGTCATTTTTGAGTGTTTATTTTTGTACTAACTTAGATCTTCAAATAAGTTGGCATTTGGAGGAAGGTAGAAATTAATGAATATGAACTTAATTTTAGAAACATTGGACACCCTACACTGCTTCTTTTTTATTAAAAAAAAAAAAAAAAAAAAAAGATGAGTAATTAGAATACCTAAAACTGACAATAGTGAGTCGAACTCGTAAAAAAATTCCGAGTTAGATTGCTGAGCTGAATCTTCCTTGGGAAGATCTGGTGGATGTCTCGGGAGATTAGCCCCATATGAGTGAAGCTCTTGGATAGCTAAGGTATGATATGCTTTACAAAAGTAAAGTTTAAAGATGGCATAAAGTAGGTAACTAGATTCCCAGAAAGCCAAAGGAAGACATATCTTATGAAATGGAGACTTCATAGAGATGCAAATTGAGTGAGTAAGCAGATTAGATCCCGTGCAATCTTGGTATTGAATATAAACATATTTTAAAATTTGTAATGTGATTCTGGAATTTTGGATACACTGCCTTTTCATGAACCAGTTCAGTCTGAATACCTGTCTCTTGTCTTTTTGTATTAATATGTAAAGGTCTAGCTTTCAAGTAAGTAGTCTTTCACAGGAAACCTGTAGAAAAAGAAAAACTTATTTGGTTCCATGTACTTTTTAGTAAGCATATTAAGAATAGTGTCTTTCAGACTTACAAGGAAAAGAAATTGAAGTAGTGCCAAGCTTCAAGACAATAGTATGCTTTACCATCTTCTTGTGGTTAAAGCCTAAGTAAGCTTAGTTTAAAACACTATATACTCTGTTCAAGTTTCAATATCAATTTCTGCTGATTTTACTTATTTTAAGTAGATGTTTTTAAACATAAAAACAAGTAGTAAATACTTTAAAGATGTTTGAATAGAACTAGTACCAATAGAACATCTCTTATCTTTCAGATTATGCCAAGGCTTGGAGTGGATGACCTCCCGTATTGGAGTGAGATAGCTTTGTTTTGTTGCTTTGGTTTTGTTTTTTTTTTTTCTCCTCCTAAAGAAGAGACTTCTATTTATCCTGTGAACATGTACATTTTTCTGTACTTCTGACTGCTGAGGCAGTGACCATGTTTAATTTATATCAGCCAACCCCCAAGCTGTACTTGAATCAAGTGCAGTTGAACTGAAACACAAAGTATTTTCTTAACTTTTTTTAATACACTAATCTTCAACTGGATGAACATATGTGAATCTGTTTTTTAAGCACTGAAATTCCTCTGAATATGTATTCTAACTTTTTCAATGATAGCTTTTTAAAGTCTGTTTTGTCATTGTCAATATTTCATACTTCTTCTTTCTAAGTAGTTTATATAACTTACTAACATAAATGAGCGCAGTTTATTTAATAATGAAAAAGTAGTGAGTAGGTTGACTTTAGTCTGGCATAGCTTTAGCCTCTAAGGATAATCAGATCTCCAGCTGAGCTATCTGGAACATCAGTAGAGTTCTAGCCAGCATGGGAGTTAATAGTTATGAATAAAAATTTTTAAATGCTGAATGGGTTAGTTATAGTTTAATATTGTGGTGGCTTTTAACCTGGTATAAAATTGAACTTCTGCCTTAAAAAAAAAAAAAAATCTATTCTCAATTTGTCTGGTAAGTAGTTCTAGGATATGATTCTTCTTTTACTTGAAAATACATCTCTGTACAGTGGATAAAAATTTTGTTATTAAGTGCTGGTTTAGTCATTTAGAACTTGAATACCTTTTTAAAAATAAACCTCTTGATAATTACATTTGGAATTACAGCAGCCAGTGTTATGTGTAGACTTGCTGTAATCTGTTAAAATTTTAAATACTGTATACATGAGCCTTCCTCACCTTTTAGTGAGTGCTGTTTTCTAAATTAATGAAAAATCAAAAGGGAAGCCAGACTTGTAAACAGAACAGAATCATGGTGCTGTATCTGTAGACTTCGGAGTGAAGCTAACCTTTACATTTATTTGCCTACTATTAAATATGTTTTCAGATTCTGTTACAGAGAAAATATTTTGCCTTAGTTTTTGTTTTTAGTCTTATTTACAGGAGCAGAGAACTTCTGATGGTGTTTGAGTTAGATTCATTCACCTGAAATTTAGGAATGGAAACTTGAAAAAGCAGAGAGCTTCCATTTGAAAAACAGGTGTTGAAAGATTGGACCTAGTAACTTAGTTCAGTATGAAAGGGTTGAAGTTAGATCTGTAAAGAAAATCTAAAGCTATGGATGAAGTTAACTGAAAGCATTGGATGCCCCAAAAAAACAAACACCAAACTCCCCAAAAAACATCTGAGGGAAAAAATAAAACAAACACAGGGGACACTCAATTCCTGGTGAAATCCCAGCAGCAGTCAAGGATCTAACCTACATAAATGCTTGACAGGCTTCCCAAAAGCACCATTCTGCACTTTAGCTTGCCTAAAAACCACGTAGAGTCTTGTTACTAGAACCATTATGCTAATTTATGAGAGTCCTTAATGACAAAATGTTTTTGATAAATCTTGTTTTGATAATTTAAGCACACTGAGTTTTGTCTACTAATTTTTTTTTCTAAATTTCAATTTGATTCCATTTTTATTTGAACAAAGCTGAATGAAATTTTAAAAGTATCAACAAGTACGTTGTCATAAGTGTTAAAAAGAAGACTTTGAATATATATGGAATCAGTGATTGGTTGAATAAAGTTATGTATTAGTGCTGGTTAGCAAAAGTCACATTTAGGAGAAAGACTAAGTTGAGTGTCAAGTCAAAATGCTCAGGAAATAATTCACATCAGTGAAAAGTAGAGCTTAAATTAAGAGGAGGAATGCAAGGCATGGTCAGAATCTGAAACTAAAGCTTATTGCTCCAACGTTCGTGCTAACAACTGTTCCAGTGTGTGAAAATAAGATTTGTTTTGTTCTTAGGAAAGCAAATTATAAATGGAAATAATAAAATGATACTGTGAATGAGGTTTCTTGTATGGTGACTTAATTTCAGTTTGCAATTTAGATTTATTTTCAGGTTTATTTTTGTGTAATTCGGAATGTGGTCCTGAATATTTATAAAAAGCACTATCTGGTTATAGTCTTAATTTATAAAATCAGACCCCTTGTGTTATAATCATGCATCATAATTGGAGATAAATAGTTCTGATTTGTTTAGCAGTCTCTATGAGAATGCAACTTTGAGCAATTTTTATCATGCTTGGATGAGGTTGGTAGGATCCGCTTTTTGAAAGTAGTTTTGCAGGCTTTTAAGCTCTTTTGCTTAATTGAATTTGGTTAGTTTATTTGAAGCAGAATTAAGTTTTGCAATAAGACATTCCCTTACCCCTTCACTGATGTGTTCGTCTGTTAGTTAACTGTTGTTGCTAAGTAGATCCAATAATAATTTTAAAATTTTCCTCCCTGTTAATAATTTTAAGACTGAATAAAGCTTTATTGCATAAATAAGTACTAGAAAAAATAAGATGGCTAATAGAGTAGTGAGTGTACTATCCTTCCTATCTTTTTTGTCCAGCCAGATTTTAACTGCTTCAATAATATATGGTAAGTGAAAACCATTTACTAAGGAAAAAAAATACCTCTTTCATAAAAAGTTGCTTTTCCTTTTGTACCATTTAGCATGTTAAAGTGGGTCATCTGTGGTTGAGAGGGAAACAGTTTTCTTTTCCCTACAGTTCACAGTTACTGTAGTTTGCAAATATTCAATCGTTCATTAAATTTTTGAAAAGTTCATTTGCTCTTTGTAAACTGAAATGCACCCTGTAAAACATGCAACTTGAATTTTTTTCAGTTTTGAAAATAAAATTCCACTGTCAAACTGGTAATCATTTCCCTATGTAAATAAATACAGTAACAGACACCAAAATAGGGGTTCGGGGTGGAAAAAAGTTCTGATGAAAAATTACTTAAGTGTTTGATTTTTGTGCTAATCAAGTAATTATTTTTTTTTTTAAGACTGTACTTTAATTTGTGTTCTTTTTCTTTTTGTTGTTAAAAATAAGCTTCTGGACAAAACATGACTTGTAGACAAATATTTACAGACAGATCAGTAATTTGTGCTGACTTGTGGAAATGGGGGTGAAGGGGTGGGAAGTACAGCCAGTTGAACTGTGTTTCTGTTGAATTCCAACACTATTTTGTAAGGATAGGCTTTAAACAGTAGATACTTTTTCATTGACTTTGCCAAGTTTGTTGATTTTGACCTTAATGTAACATGATACGTTTCCTTTTTCCCCAGCAATTCCAAAAGTCTTCCCAAAGAATAAAAGGTTTTGAAGATGATCTCAAAGGAGAATGGCCAGAGTACCAAAAGGAGTATGTGCCTATATTTACATGCTGTTACCTAGACACAGTGCATCTCTCACATAGGAATACACCTCCTGAAACACTGTGAATACAGTTGCCTTCCTGAAACCATACTTTTTATCACATTTAAAAAACAAACCCAGAAACCACACATGCTTGTTGGCTTTAGTTTCTTAAATTAATGGAAAGATAAGCAGTTGTTAAATGAAGAGAAAACTTTGTAGATACAAGCCAATGAACGATGAAATTTTGGGTAGTTCAGAACTTCTGTAAGACTACACAGTTGTCACTAGATAGTCAAATCCAACATAGAATTGTTTTAATTTCAGAAAACGAAAGCTGGAACATGTCAGCTTTCATAGACACAAAAGTTCTTTTGGCTGAACGTGACTTCTTTGTAATTTACTTCATTAAGTGCAATGTTCAATCTCTTTGAGAGGTTCTGAACATGCACCATAGGGTTTTTTCACTGTTCGTGAGTGTGTTCATGGCAGCTTGCAGTAAGGGTTGTACCTTATCTTAGTCTCTGTACTCACCACTGGAGGAGGTCAGGCTTAGGAAACAAGCTGTCTTGATTTCTTAATGGTGCCTTGCTACCTCTTCATCCTGTCTCTAATTCGAGCCATTATTCTTTCCCCCAAATCCCCTTGCCCCCTTTTTCTTCACCCCTCTTCCCCCCCACCCCCCCCACCCCGAGTTATTATTGCCTTGTACTCTCTTGTCTAAAGATGCCGACAAAGACATGTGAGGCACTATACAAAATAAAGTGCTTATACACTATAGGTTTTACCAAGTAAGCAGCACTTTCTTCATACAGCTGTTTTACTAAATCCAACTTAATTTTACAGTTATCTCCCTTTTTTTTTTTTTTTTTTTTTTTTTTCTTTTTTCAGCAACGGTGTTGGTCTAGTGTCAAACTTCTGTTTGTGCTGTGCAAGCATATATTATGTTCCAGTTCAAGAAATTAAAGTTTCTTATAAAGATATATTGCTGTAAATGGGTTTACATGTGGCTTTTATTTTGTTTATTTTTTAGAATTTCTTGCAGGGTGGTAAAGAGCTTCAGTATTCCCAAGCCAGTGATTCTTTCCAGCTATTTAAACACACTGCACACAGTAATGGGAAGATGACTTGGACAGTGCTTCTCAAAATTTTTTTTTAGCACAATAAAATTAATTGAAGAGTTGTTCTGTTAGATTCGGGCGTTTTTTGTTTGTGCGTGTTCTTTGCTGAAGAGGTATCAAAGTAGTGTAACATTGTCACTTTAAGCGTAGGGGTTAGGGAAGGCATTTCATCTTAAGTCCCTTCACTGAGGCAGAATCGGGGCCTGTATCTTTTGCAACTGTAGCCAGTTGGTGAAACATCTTGGTTGGACACCTGCTTCCTTTCATCCCAGGAAAAGCTCCAACTTGGATCCTAAAGAGACTTTCACATGGTTTCAGCCATGGGAAGCATGGGTCTTTGTTTGTTTTAGTGAAGGGTGTTTGTTTTAGTGGACTGTTCCCTTTCAAAGTAAGAGCAAAACAAATCCAAATGGAAGAGAAGGAAAAAACTTGTTTGGATTTTTGTGTGTGCATTTGACAACGTGTAGCATTTAGCTGAGTTTGCTCTTTCCTTTTGTAGAATCCGCTGTGTGACAGAGCCTGAAAGGCAGCAGTGAAGAGAGCAAATACAAAAAAATGTGACCCCAGTGCCAACACTAGCAACAGGAACTTTCATCTTTGAACAACCTTTAACTTTTTCTAAAATGAACTTGATGAACTTTTGACATTGAGTGTTTCTATGTTTTATTTCTTAGGGTAGAGCAATCTAAAGGTGAATACTGTCTGCACAGTGTGTGAGGCACACTGGTACATACTAAGTTTCTGCCCTGCCCACAGTACAGGCAGCAGAATGAGGCTCTGAGAAAGTTAGTGCTTTGTGTAAATGATTTATTGAAAAGCAAGTTCTGACATCAAGCTAAGTTTTCATAATATCAGGTGTCATGTAATTTTGCTTTTTCTTATTTTCTTAATTTCTGGAACCAGAGACATGATGCTTTCTTTTTATCTCTGTATTGGCTGTGGATGGGTACATACTGCTTATAGCAGCATAGATCTTGCTCTCTTGATGTATGCAGGAAAATCAAAAGGCTTTTCGTATAGCTGGGTGGCTCAGAAGACATGACTGTGTGTCATAAAAGTGAGGCTTAAGTTGTCAACTCAATATTTTTGCTGTGTATTCAAGTGAAATTTACTGTAGAAAATTTTAGGGTTATGCATCTGGTCTCCAATAAAATAGTTGTGCTACTCTTCAGTTAGATTTGTTTCTTGATAGTTGTGCTACTCTTCAGTTAGGTTGATTTTTGTTTTGCTGCATAGGGATAAACATTTCATATAGAAAGTTTTCCTATATGTAGCCGTGAAGACAATCCCCTGTTCCTCCATTTGCACACCAGTGTGTGTCCCCTAGATGGCAGGAAAGGATCACTTTAACAGTGCCAAACCTGCATTAACTCGTGTGCTTCAATATCGGCGTGAGAAATTTTAAAAATCCCTCAGTAAAATGAAGTTGTGTATCACTAGCTATATCATGGGGACCATGCTTAGATACAGGGGAGAAAGTACAGAGGAGAGGGAAGTTGAATCACTTCTGTGGGAAGGAAGTTTATGGTGAGTTTTAAATAAATTTGAAACTTGGTTCTGTAGTTTAAAAGCATTATGTCTTCATCATTTATGGTTAGAATTATATTCCACACCTCAGAAATTGCAATGCAAATGTCTATAACATTTGAACTGTCTGTTGTACCTCTAAAAAATACGTTCCTGTGTGTTTAGCTATGATGATTATTTCTAGTCTTTCCTATATACTTGTTACATATGAAGGCTAAATTCAGGTAAAATGACAGTTTCTTTGCAACATTTAGATTCTCTTTAATGATATGCAGTGCTTGAGATAGCAGTGGCCTAGTGTGCAGTACCAACAGTCTTTCATTGACCATCTCATTTCTGTTGTAGTTGATATAATACACGTCCTCTGTGAAATGGTGCTTAATTCTCACTATTTTGTACAATTGCTGCTAGGTGATTCAGTGTTTATCAAAAATGTATGAAATTAGAGAGCTAAGGAATGTAGGATGACACCAAACAGTGCAAGGTTCGTCAAAATAAGTGCAGTATCTGAGACACAGCTGTTCCTGCAAGATTTTTCTTTCTCTGAAATTCAGATAAGGGTGAGAGGAGAAACTAGAACAAAGATTAAACTGAAGTGTTGAAATGCCGCTTCTTGCTGAGGAAAGGTTGGAATGGAGCAAAATAGTACAGCATGGTGACATGTCATGCTACCAGTTCTTCAGTAATTATGTCATTTGGAAAGCTGTATGCATTTGTTTTAGATTTGATAATTCAAAATAATAAAGAATATGTAGTGCTGTTTGACAGAATAGGATGCCATCTTCTACTAAGGAGTGTCTTAATGATGACTTTGAAGACAGTAGAATTTGGGCAATCTTGGGTTGTACCTGAGGTTTGGTTGCTAGTGTGAATTCTTGATGAGTGTTCATGTTCACCTCCTTATGGTGGTGAGATAAATATCTTCAACTGTACTTCTTGTATGAAATGGAATTCTAGATATATATATTAAAAAAAAAAAAAAAAGTACCTTTTTACCAAAAGTACACTTT